ATAAATATACATATAAATTATATTTTTTTAAATTAATTTTACGATCAACTAGTAAATATTATTAAATTAGATAAAAGAAGCATCTATTAAAACAGCATTTTTAAATAAAATTAACAAATATTTAAAGAAATATGTAAACAGATAGAATAAATACAGCCTGATTAAGCAACCTATAATTTTATTTATTTAGCTTAATTTTTTATATTTATTATTTATAAATATTATTTAATTCAGAAACTCTCATTATAATTCTAAATTATATTAATTGATCAATATAATTTTTAGCTAAATCTTCCAATAAATTAAAATAAGATTAGTCAGATCTAGTTAGGATAATTAAAAAGAATTATTTATTTTTGAAAAGCTTGTGTAATAAAAATTTAATTGATAATACAATTATGAAAATGATTAATCTTTTTAGAAGGATAAAATATTTTTTAAAAGTTACCTTTGCTTTAGAGATTGAGAATGAAGGATAGATTTAAGATTTATCTCTTTGTTGGAACATCTGAAAAGCTTTAGTTAAATTCTTTCTAAAGCACCTACTTAAATTTATTAAATTTATTAAATTCTTTTTTAATACTATATTTGGCTGCTTATTGAATAATTGGATAAGCTATTTGAAAGTATTAATTATTTATAAATATTTTTTTCCAAATTTTTTTCCATTCATTCTAATTATATAAATTAAATAGAGAATATATTCAAAATACACTATTAAAATAAGGATAAACTCTAAGAAAATATTGCTATTGTGAATAAAGTTCTAATCTATAATGAATTCTATAAAATAAAAAATGTAACTGTTAATTATACATCTCAGCTCTAGTTTTAAAATAAAATGAAAAAATTATAACTTAATTAATCCTAAAAGCCTTAATATATACACAGATTAATAATAATTAAATTTCTAGATAACTTTAAAAACAAAATATTTTTTTTTTAGTGATTGTATTGGATTAATGTTACTTATTTATAACGTATTTTATAGATTTTGTGCAAAATATTGGTTTTTCAAAATAAGTACAATAATATTAATATTAAATTAAGTCTTGATTATAATAGAGAAATTAAAAACTTTTTATATATTAAAAAATAAGATTTGAATTTAAAGAGGATAAATTTAGATAAACAAAAAAAAAATACGTATTTGTGTTAGATATATATTATGATTTTTATATGAATTAGTTTTAAATATTAATTTTTAATATATTTATGTAATTATAACCAGCTCTTAAATTTTAAATTTGTATAAAAAATGCTAATTTAGGTTTTTTTTTAATTATAAATAGGAAATCATTAATGATAATCCTAATCATAATTTTTTGAATATATTAAATGTTTTCATTAATGATGCTATTGATATTCTAGTTAAAGTAAAGAATTTATATATTAAAAAGCATAAAAATTGTGAAATCATCTTGTGATGTTTTCAAAGTATTAACTACTCCTGAGAATGAATCAAGATAAATCTTTTAAGATCTTTGGGATGAAACAAATAAAGATTATTCTTGGGGAGTATGGACAAAATATTTGGCAAAATATGAACCAATAGAGGATTTAGAATTAAAAATAAAGGAAATGCATGTCTAATAGAAATAATAAATAATAATAAATAATAATAAATAATAATAAATAATAATAAATAATAATAAATAATTGTTAATTATACTTTCAGAAAGTTTTGAGAAGAATAATTATTTAGTTTATTATATAGTATTAGATAAAGAAGAATTACAGATATATCATAAACTATTCATAAATTAGAACAATAATGTAGAGATAAGAGAATTGAAAGTTGCTTAAGAGTTAGTAAAAGATAATTGGGTTTTTTTCTATTTTTGTTATTCATAACCATCTTAGGTCTATAATATATTCCTTTATATCAATTCAGATCGAATAAATGTTCAAATGGTATAGGGAGGACCTTTTTAGAGTTAAAATAACGGATTAAAAATTTATTAATTGGGTGGAATAAAATAATTTTCATATTAGATTACTTTAAAATAAGAAATGAGGATTAATTTGAGTCAATTTTCAGGTGAAATAACAGATAAGGATTTAAGAATTGGAATTATTAATTTTTATAAAGATATTTCTACATTCTTATAATATATTGAAGATCCTAGTTGTAAATAATTATTATGTACAAATACAATGATAGAAGAAATGATAACAATGAAACAATTCTTAGGAGAAACACTCAAATATTAAGTATCATATAAAGATTAAAAATTTATGATTTATGGTTGGGTTAAATTACATGAATTAGAAAATGTATAATAATAATATATATTATTTATTAGTTATCAACAGTTTAATCAGTTTTAATGAGAGTTAGTTTAAGAAAGACATATTTTAATGATTTATATTAAGGTGATAAAGCGTTTTATTGGGAGTATTTATAAAGCAATTAAAATAATGAATAAAATGGTATTACTATTACAACTTATCATAATGATCCATTTAAACCTTTATCATCTTATTAAACTTTTGATACTGATTCATGGATAGTAAAAGGATCTTATTATTAATAAGCTATAACATTTTGGCATTGGTTTGTCTATTAAGAAGGAATTAATTAAATTAATAATATTAAATTATTAATTTATTTTGGTTCTAATCAATAAACTTAAACTTTTACAATGATGTAAAATCATTTTGAGAAATCCTCATTATATTTTACAATTGGTGGAGATAAATTTAATAAAAATTTTAGAGGAGATATATAAAATTTAACAATTTAATATTGTTACACTTTAGATACACCTAAAATTAAAAGTTAAAATATTAATATTATTATTAGTATGTCATTATAGTTGTAAAAGTTGTTATGGACCTGAAGAAAATTAATGTATTCTATGTGATCAATCATAAAGGACTTTTAATAAAGGAGCATGTAAATGTAAACCAGGATATATTGATAATAAAGATAAAGGATGTTAATGTATATATTATAATAAATATAGCTATATCATAATTAATTACAATTGAAATCTAAGAAGCAAATCTATTAGATAATACACATTGTAAATTAGGACAATTTTCAGTCCAATTTTATGGTAAATTTTATTGTTTAGCATGTCCTGGATAATATACAACTTTGAGTTTAAATTGTATTGAATGTATATCTAATCCAATCCATTGGTATTTAAATCCTATTTGTAAAAGTGATTACTTTTAACCATTATAAGATTAAAGTGATTATGTGTTTTTAGAAACATAACGTAATCAAATTTATTATTAATACTATTTAATTAATTAATTAGATATTACTTAAAACCCTATTATTGAAATTTGTTAAGGATGTCTTGGATTAATTACTATTGATTTTAATTTTATCGAAAACTATTAATTAAATATTCTATCTAGATTTGCATGTAAAACATGTTATACTGTAATTAATGGCGAATGTATTAATATTAATTAACATTGCTTAAATTGTGATTCCTATTTTTTATGCTCAAATTGTTTTTAGAATTATACATTGTTTGATGGTCATTGTTATTAATGTCCTTATTATTGTCCTAATTGTAAATTTAATCAAACAGGAACTTATTGTTAAAATTGTATTTCTGGCTATTATTATAATTCTACTTAAGAATAATGTATTTAATGCGGCCAGTTTTGTTCTATTTGTATCTATAATTAAAATTTACCTTTTTTATAATGTATAAAGTGTATTGATGAAAAATAATATTTTATTTCGGCAGATAGATAAATGTGTAGAAAAAAAAATTTAGATCATTGTGTTATTTAAGGAGAAGAATATGTTTGGGATGGATTCAGCAATTTTTCAGATAAAAGCTTGAATTATTATTATGCATCAACAATTGATATTTAAGCTATTTTCACAAGCTAAGAAACATTTTAAGTTTGTATATTGTGTGAAGATCAATATGTTAATAAATTAGCATTATTTTCTTCAAATGAATGTGTTCATGCAAGTGATACAAGCAAACTACCTGATTTAAAAGATGAATTAAAAAACTTAGTATTAGCTTCTGAAAATTATTCATATCAACTTTCTTTTTCAAATTGGGCTGGTTAAGCAACTAATTATACAGTAATTTATGGAAAACCTACAACATTATTGATTAATAATTATTCTAATAGATCTTCTTAAATTTATTATAATTTCAGTAGTGTTGTACTATCAGTAAATTTTAAATATGAAGATCCTTTACTTTAATGTACAGATCCACATTGTATAGATTGTATAAAAAATTATGTTTTATCTTAAGAGTTTTGTATAAAATGTCAAAATGGATATTATGCAAGTGCTTTCACAGGATTATGTTATTAATGTAAAGAAAATTGTAAAGAATGTTTAGAATAACATTCAATTTATTAAGATGCATGGAAATGGTAAATAATACCATATTATCAATTTAGAAGTAATATATTTTATGGTTTTCATAATTATAATTTATATTGTATTTCTACTGATAATGAATTATATGAATAAATTTGTACAAAGTGTAAAGGTAAAGATGCATTACATAATGGTAAATGTTATAAAGATTGTAATTGCGAGGAATGTATATTTTAAGAGGGTTAGAATAAATGTTTGAGATGCAAGAGTTCTTAAACTTATATTAATGGTGAATGTATTTAATGTCCTAACTATTGTGATGTATGTAAATAATTAACAAATTAAGAAATTTATTCTATTAATCCATACTTTAATCCTAATGATATAAAATTATATAGATTTGCTAAATAATGTTTGAAATAATCTAATACTATTCCTAATAATTATGGATATATATCATGATGCTAGTTTAGGTTTGGAAGTTTACTGTTTAAATAATTAAAATCTACCATGTTATAAATATGCACAAAAAACATTAAATGTATATTGTAATCAAGATGTTTATTTTTAAGATTATTCTTTACTTACAGATGAAAATTAGAAATTTTTATTTTTAGATTAAAATATCCCTTTAAACGAAGTTTTTTCATTAGAATCTTCATCTCATTTCTCTAATTAAGAAAATGATGTCTTATTTGATTTATTTAATGAGAAGAGTGTTAAATTAATGAGATACATTCTTAAAATTAAACAAAACTCTGGTCAATGTCAAATTTAAGATAATACATTTGTTTATTCAACATTAAGAAAGAATATCTTTATGCTTTAATCCTTAGAATTAATATTTCAATCTAATTTAGATATTCCAATATATTTTGGAAACAATATTACATTTTAACAATTCACTTCTATCACTTTTTAAAATATTCTTTTTGATTCTCTCTCAGGACCAATACAGATTTTCTGTTTAAATTTATAAGATATTAAATTTAATTTACAACATTTTCATGTAGTAAATGGAAATAATCTATAATTACAATTTATAATTCAAAACCCAAGTTAAATTGATCTTTAATAAGTAACTTTGAAAAATACATAATTTGTGAATATTTATGGATTTATTTGTTATTATTTTACTTAACCAAAATTAATAAAATAATTAGTTATTTCAATCAATGACTTTATTATTTAGGACTCCTAATTATTAAATACATATCTTATTATTTAAATTCTTAATACTAATTATGGGAATTAATAATTAAAAATTAATGGTTTATAATCATTAAATAATTATTATACTAAATCTTCGTTAATATATACAAGTTTTTTAAATTAAATTAGATAGTCTGAAATAATCATTGAAAATTTCTTGTCAGATACTGATTAATTAATTTAATCAAGTTTTCTAGAATTGAATGGTGCTTTAAATGTATTAATGAAAAAAATAACAATTTAAAATGGAAAATATAAGAAAGAAGTAAATTTATTTAAATTACCTTTATTCTAGATTTATAATTTGAATATCATTAATAATAATTTTATGAATGTTGATAATCGTGTTCTTACAAATATTTTGGATTCTTTATATGCTGATAATATATTAGAAAATAGATTAATATTGAATTCTATATATTTCATAAATAACTCTTATGTAGGAAATAATGTCTTTTTAGAATTAATAAGTAGTAATAATTTTGTAAATTTGAACATCGAAATTGATGATTTGATTTTAGAATCAAATTAATTTAAAGTTTAACCTATTAATAAAAGTAAGGAATCAATAGTAGCATCTAATGCTTCAATATATTTTGATACTTAAAAATTAACTTTAAAAAATACAAAGATTATTCGTTCCTTTAATTTACCTGAAATATCAATAAATAATGCAGATTTAGTTGAAGTATCATCTTTTAATGTATCTTTAAATCAAAAATATTAATTTAAATCTATCCATTCTTAAATATCTTGCTTTGATACAAATAAAGAAATTGGATATGGAAGCATTATTTTATTCTATAATATAAAAAAACTAATAATTGCGAAAGTACTATTTAAAAATTTAATTTCAATAAATACTCCATTATTATTGATAAAATCTTTAGAAAGAACAAATTTTAGGGTATAAGAATCTATTATTATTATTGATCATATCTATATTAATAATCGTTTAATAATAACAAAATAATCTTAAGAAGTAGCAATTTTAAGTTTTATTTCTGAATAAGAGTAAATTATTAGTTTAGATGAAATAAATGGTAATAATAATATATTGCATTGTTTTTAGGAAGATTAGAAATTTAGTTAATCATCAACAATTTTAGTATTGAATCCATATTCATATACAACTTTACAAAATTCAGTTTTTTATAATAATATTGTCACAGCTAGTCTAGGTTCAAATCTTATTATTTTTAGTAAATCATTAATATTATAAAATACATAATTTTATGATTAGAATATTCTAAATTATGATAGTTTGAAATATAAATTGATTTGGGGTTATTCAGAAGATGAATAAATATTCTTAGAACATTTAGAGAATGAATTTGCTATAAAATCAAAAGGAGGAAATGGATTTTTATCAGCTGAAGAAATATATATAATGAATATTACTACAAATAATTCTATGGCATCATAAGGTGGTTCATTTTATATATCTACTGTCTCAGATGGAATCGTTTAAATTAATAATTCGAAATTTGCTTATAGTCAGTCTAATTTATTATTTTATGATAAATCATAAGGTGGAACATTATTTATAGATGCATCTTAATCAATGTTACAGTTCTAATTATATAATTGTACTATTTTTAGAAGTTCAAGTAGAAAAGAAGGAGGAGTATTTTTTATTGAACCTTCTAGAACTTAAAATTTAATCATTTTAGAATCTAATATTGTACAAGAAATCTATTCTCTCTATTATCCTTTTTTAAAACTACCTATTCAATTCACTAGTAAGACATTAATACTTAACATTGATATTATATAAACTTATGTGAATAATTCATATGATGGATACTTTTTATTTTATGGAAAAGTACGTTAATTAACTAAAAGTGAAATCTCAAATGCATTCCAAAATTCTTTAATTTCAATAGATGGTGGCAATATTGTTTTAGAGGATGTTTAATTTACTAATATCTTTTAATTTGGTATAATGAATATTAAGAATGCAAATCAAGTTTATATGACTAATGTTTCTATTTCATTTATAACATTAATAAATGATAATTTAATACTAATTAATTCAAATACAAGTAAATATTAAATAATATATTAGAATATCAAACATCCATCAAATTTATAAATGTAGAATTAGAATTAATTAGTGAATTTTCAAAAGTTTTAACATATCCAAAAATTTCAATATTATTATTATAAGAGAGAATTAATAGATGTTTATTAAATTCATAAACTCCTTAAGTAATTAAAGAATTTTATGATTCAAAACAATTAGAACTATTTTCAAATAACAATTTCTATAATATTATAATATAATATTAAAAGCCTACATTTATAATTGGGATTGATTCAGTATCAAATAATCATAAATTATTTTTTAATTAATTAAAGTTACATTCAATTAATTGTTAAAGTTGTCATGAAGGAATATTTACAATAACCAATATAGATGTAGGAAGTTAAAAAAACAATTTAATTTAATTAAAATAATTTAATATATTTAATAATCAATGTGGATAATTAGGTTGTATATTTGTAAGTAATAAAGATAAAAGATCACTAAAATTATTTTCATCAGAAATAAAAAATAGATACTTAGCAGAAACAACATAATTAAGTGAACTAACAATTTTTCCAATAAAAATAGAAGACAGCAGATTTTATGAAAATGAAGCATCATATGGAGGAGGTTTAATTATATCAGGTGTTAGTACATTAATTAATAATTGTTAATTTACAAACAATTCTGCTAACATTTCAGGAGGAAGTATTTATTTTGATTACAAAGAAAACACAGAGATTTTGATTGTTAATTCTATATTTGCAAATAATAATGCAAAAATTGGTGGAGCTATCTTTTTAGGAAATTATTCTATAAATTCACCTAAAATATTAAACAATTCATTTTTCAATAACAAAGCATTAATTTTTGGTTAAAATTAAGCAGATTAACCGATAAAATTATTATTGTAAATTGGTGATAAAATTTTAGAGACTGTTAATGTAATATCAGATATGAATAATATAACAGATAAAATAAAAATAGATTAATATAAATTAGGAAATATTAGTTATAATTATATAATGATTCCAAGTGGATAATCAATAGGATATTATTAGATATTTGATGAAGATAAATAATAATATGTTTCTTATAATTATAGTTTTAGAATAATTCCATTGAATAATGAGAATGGTTAAGTTAAGAGTTTAGATGGTAGCAAATGCACTATATATGGTAGAAAAGTATTGAATAAAGAAATAGGACAATTTGATTAAAATTTAACTAGTTTTACAGAGATTAATTTTAACACAAGCACTTAAGATTATAATTTAGATTAGTTAATAATAAAATTTGATCCTGATTTAAATTAATTTGGTTATATTTAAATAGAGATAATTTGTAATTCTATAAAGATACCTTAATTTTCTACAAAACCTCCTTATTTATTATAAAATTACTTTACAAATTATAGATTATGGATAGATTTTTAAACATTTAATTGTTAAAGAGGTGAATATAAGACAGATAATGGTGAATGTAAATTATGTGAGTCTTCAAAAGATTAATATACTGTAATAGCTGGTCAAAGATGTAAAATAAAAGATTAAATTAAAATGGAAAAAGTAAGTCCGGCTAGAATAATGTTAAGACCAGAGTATTGGAGACCATCAGAAAATAATGAGAATATTGAATATTGTTTAAATGTACCTAAAAATTGTGTAGGAGGTTGGAATCCTGGAAATGATCTGTGTGATTATGCACATATTGGAGCACTTTGTGAATAGTGTGATATTTATAATGTAAGAGGTTAAGGTTTCTTTTCAATTACTTCTTCATATAAATGTGGAAATTGTTAAGAAGTTGGAGATAATAGTATTAAGATTTCATTAATTAGTCTTTGGACTATGATTTCAATATTTTTATCTGTAAGAGGTACAATATAAGGAGTTGAAAAAATAGTTGCTTAATATAAAATGTCTAAATTAAAATTAAAATAATTTGATTAAAAAGCCGGATATGGTGGAATATTAGTTAAAGTTCTTACAAATTATTTCTAAATTATAGCGGCAGTCTCTCTATTTTAATTAGAATTATCTAGTGCTTTATAATCATCAATAAGATCAGTTGGAAATCCTGTAGAAGCCATGAGTTATTCTTTAGATTGTTTTTTAATTAGAATTACTGATATAAATATTATCTATTTTAGAATGATATGGGCTTTGATAATGCCTCTATTATATATTTTGGCTTTTGCTTTGATATACATTATAGCTGTGATATTGAATATAACATAATCAAATAAAAGTGCAATTACAACAACTGCTATATATTTATTTACTTATTTATAGCCGACCCTATTAGGTGGATTCATTTCATTATTATCTTTTCGTCGTATATCTGATATTTATTGGATTCAAGGTAATGTAGCATATAGATATTTAACATAATAGCATTTTTAATGGATTACTGCTTTTGTTCTTCCATCTACTTTAATTCTAGCATTTATTATTCCTATTTATATGCTACTAAGCTTATATTACTAAAGATATAAATTAGAAGAAGAAAAGACCAGAAAAAATTGGGGTTATCTATACAATGAATATCAACATAAAGCATATTTCTGGGAAATTATCAAAATTTTCTAAAAAGGATTTATGATTATGTTTTTAACCTTGTATGAAGATTAAATTATTATTAAAGCAGCATTAATTTTTATTATTGTTTTTATTTATTAGATATTAACTAAAAAATATAGACCTTATAAATCACCATATTTAAATTTTTTAGATGAAATTTCTACTATTATTTGTGGGACTTCTATAGTTATGGGAATGACCATCTATTAAGCTAATAAATCAGATAATTAAGAAATTATATGGCCATTTTATATACTCTTAATTTTAATCAATGCTATCTTTATTATTATTATTCTCTGGGAAATCTTATGGGCTCAAATTTAAGATAATTAAGATAAACTAGATAATAAAATCAGAAATAAAATTAATAATTAATTTCCAAATTTAAAAAATAAAAATGTTCTATTCTATAGACTATTAACAAATAGAAGAGAATAATAATAAAGGATTTAATTAAGATACTTGAAAATAAAGGAATATTTGATGAATATTGTTCGCAAAAATCCTGGAATTTATTAACAACCAATTTTTGTATCTATGAATAAGTAAATTAAGAACATTCAATTCTCTGAACTCATTTTCTAACATGCTCATTTACCAGCTTAAAATAAAGATATTTAAAATTAACATGATTATCCAAGGACATCTAAAAAGATATATCCAATAATGAATTAAGAAAATAATAGTGATTTTTAAGAGTCTGATTCAGATAATATAAAATATGATGAAAACTGAAATATTTGTAAAATTATAAAATATAAAATTCTTAAAATAAATTTATTCATAATATTTGATTATTTTGGAATATTAATGTAGGATTAATCAAACTATTTTATGGAGAATTAATTTAAAAATGTCATAATCATTAGATGAATAACTAAGTAATGATAACAATTTGTAATTCTTAACGAAATTTCTATTTTTCTTTTAAGTTAATGTGATAATTAAGTCTTATATGTTTGATATAGTAATTTTTATGCAAATAATTTCATGTAAAGTTTATTATAAAACTCAAGTTAATAAAGGCTTATCTTGTATAAGAATTGATATTTTTGCATTTGATTTTATATAGAGCTATTCTAATATGACATATTATAAAATATATGTTTAAATTTTTTTAATTCTGAAAAATCATATGATATCAAAAGACATATATTAAATAATTGTGTTGTTGTTTATATAATTTTAGTAATCATAGACTAAAAGCAAGGGACGATTTAGTATTAGAATAAATATCGATTTTTTATAAATGAAAAAACCTAATTGTTTTTAATATTTGAATATTAATTTATTTTTTTTAATTTGTTGTACATATTATTATTAACAAACAATTAATGTTCAATAAGAACTTAACAAATTTATATAGTAATCCCTTAGTTTAATAGTAGAATGGTCAAGATTAATTGTATAAAATAAAAACTACTATCATAGAATATAATATATTTTTGATATTAGATTTAATTGAAGTTAAAATTTTCATAAAATATATAAATTATACTTTTTGTGATTGTTTAAACTTATTAATGTAAGACTCAAATAGAAATAGTTTAGAAAATGAAGGTTGTTGGAATAGATTTTGCAATAAAATGAAAAGTCTTTATTCCTAGATAAGAGGTTAAACGAATAGAAGAAATAACTCAAATTCTATAATTAATAATGATCATATATCCTAACACTCGCAATAATAAAATGTTAGGGAAGAAATATAAGTAATTGGTGCAGAAGAAATATAAGTAGTTAATGTAGAACAAATATTAATAATTCCTGAAATACAATAAGAATAAAATTTATATTTATCGGATAGAAAGTCATTAAATAACAACTTTATTGTTTGTCCTTTTTGTGAATAAGAAATGTAAGAAGATGTCTATCAAATTCATTTAAATATGTGCGAATAATAAATAGGGAATTGTAATTTGATTGAATAAGAATGTTAATAATGTGGTTAGAAAATAGTTAAGCTTTATTATAATGATCATCTTGATATTTGTGAAGCTAATTGTTGGATCTAAGTTAAATGTCCTTATTGTTTTATTCCTGTATTTAAAGTTGATCTTTATGATCATACATAATAATGTCCAATATTCTTAAATCAGTAAAATAAAGAAAAAGAGGGAATACATAATTGTACAATCTGTTTAGAAGATATAATATAAAATTAAACTTAATTGAACTGTTCTCATGTTTTTCATGAAGATTGTATTCAAAATTGGCTTACTCAAAATTAAAAATGTCCTATATGCAAAAGACCTTATATTAAGTGATTATACATTCAATTTAAAATCACTATTTTATTTATGATTTATTTACAATTCATCATTAATATCTATCAAATTTATTATTATTTTTATAATTATGATATAAAATATTACAACTAATAGACCTTCATCTATTATTTAACCAAATTTGTTAATTAATATTAGATAAATTAATCAATTTCACAATTTAAGGATTATTATCAATTTCAAAATTTAGAATACATTATTGTCACTAAAATTATTATATTTTAAATAATTAACAATAACGTCTTATTTCAAAATTAATAATTACCAAAAATAACTTATTTTCATAATGAAGATTGATTTTTATCTTAATTTTGATACCTATTTTTTAATATTTAAATTTTTGTGAACCAAATAAATAAATTCTAATTAATTCATATATTTAAAACTCCTTCTTATACATCTAAGGAAATGAAATATACTTTTTAATATCTTAAATTTTATATTCTAACATGTCTTATAAAAGACCAAAAAAAAAACTAAAAGTTTTATTAATTTTTAGTTATAAATTATATTCAAAATTATATTTATTATAAAAATTATATCATAGAAAAAATAATGATATGAAAATGACTTAAATGTCATACTTCTACAATATATTATTTACTTTTAACTTTCATTATGCCTAAATTGTGATTCGAAGTTATGACGACTCTTAATTTAATCTAAAGCTTAATATCAAGGTTCTTCTAATCCACATTCTTATTGAAAACTCATGAATTTTATTATTAATAATATAGGTTTTATTTTAAATCTAACTTTGAAACTATAACTGTAAATTTCGATTTTTAAATTGTTATTCTAAGACCTCAAATTTTGATTCCATCAATAAAACTTTTCAAGATTTATTTATCATCTCCACAAGAGATTAATGATTGAAAAGTTATAGAAATTATCTCTATTTCAGAAACTAATTTGAGGCAACAGATCTTAAGAGAATATCCAAATGAGAATTTGATAGTCTTATCATTAAACATTGAGAATAAAAACTATATGTCATTTCAAGTGTTACAGATGATAAATTCTACATTGAATTTCGATGATGATAATCCAAAATTTTTATCTGAATTAAAATAAGTAATAAAAGTGTATAAATCCATTTTTCCCATTCTTTAATTATTAAAACATAATTAAAGCACTTTATCATTCTATCAATCAACTTTATTTATATAACTTTTCTTCTTTTATCAAAACAGGAAATTTTTCTTTTAACCGAAATTTAAACTGTCTATCAACTTTGTTTTTATTTATGTAAAAATAACAATGATTTAGACTTTTAAATTCAAAATATTCAATGGTTATATTAATATCAAAATTTTTAACTACTTTTTTTTGTCATTAATTTATATTAAATTTAATGTGACAATTTATATATAGATACATTATTCAAAATATTGAATTTAAATATCCAAATTTCTTTATAACACTTTTAGTTTTAAATATAGGAATTTTATTCCTGTATTATATTATTTATTATTTTGAATATTACTAACTTTGTTAAGATATGGACTATACATATAGATAATGAGTTACTGATTTTATTGACATAATAAAATTATTTTTACTAATCAAGATTTTATGAAGTGTCACATCTCATTTTAATAAAATCTCTTAAATCTTGTTAATCATCTCTCTATTTTAAGATATTTAACAAAAATATTAATGAAAATAAAAAGTAAATTTATATTTATTTAAATGTAATGAAATTTATTTCACAAGCTAATTTTCTTATAATCAAAATTTATTCGTTAAAATTGCAAATAATCTATTTTCTTATTTAAATAATAACTAACATAAAATTTAAGTTGTAAATGATATTATTTAAACAATAATAAAAACGTCACAATATAAATTTTATAATTAGATTATAAAAATTATTCTTAGCCTAATTAGTATTAATGATTATACTGATTATCCTGATAATTCTTTATTTAATTTCTAAAAATTTTGTTTGAATTTATTGAAATTATAGATATGAATATTGTTTAAGAAATGCGATCTATTATATCTTCAACATAGAAATAACTAAAGAAATTTTACTCAATTTGGTTAATTTTCTTTTAACTTTTTTAATATTTTTGAATTGATCATTTAAAGCTTCTTAAAACATTTTTTAATCATCTTTAATATCAAGTATATTTATTTTAAAGTGAATATTTTTATGTATTGGAGAATTCTAGTTGAAGTTATAAATAAAGCATAGGAAATTAGTAGAAAGAGTAATAGAGGCATCAGTTTAAATTAAGGATATTTAACATCAGTATAAATAATTTTTCTTAATAAACTAAATATCTCATAAATCTGATAAATAAAAATTTAAACAGGAACTATTTCCAGCTTAATTAAATAACAAAGTTAAACTCTAATAAAGTAGATATTAAATTTAATAATCACTCTAAAGATCCGCAAATAATTTAATTAAATTTTGATAAAAATATTTAAACTTCTTTGCATAAGTTTCAAAAATGGTATTTTTTATAAAATTTGTTATTTTATAACATAAGTATTAATTACTTTAATAATGTTATTCAAACATTGAACTAAAATTATCCATTTCAACATTTATAAATTTTTTAATATACTTTTATATCTTATATTTAAAAAATAATAGAATGTTTCTAGATACATGTAAACTTTGTTAAAAAGGAAGATTTTTATATGAATTGAAAATAGTTTTTCTAGTATCGTAAACTGTTTAGTATTTTAAACACAGCTATAAATTATTAATGAAACTTAATCTTTTTATATAAGTTATCAGTAATAATCAGCCAACTTTATTTATATTTGATAATAATTATATTAGTAAAAAATAATAATTCCATCATAAAAATAAAATATTTTATAAAATCTACTATAACTTATTATTATAATTGATATCATTGATATGATTGATATCATATGAAATTTAGTATTAATTTTAATCTTTTCTCTCATACTAAACTAAGGAATTTTCTAAAATAAATTCTTCAATTATTTTTATATTAGGTGACATGATCAATTCAATTAAATTATTTTTATTTTTAAAGTTTCTAAAATTTTGATTATATTTTATATTTATAATTGACTTTTTTAAGGTGTCAATCTATTAATAATTATATAAATAATAAAAGTTGAATTAGCAAATAAGAATCGAATGATGAGGAAAAAGTTAGATGTTTAAGAAATTTAATTATAAATAAGTATATATAAAATAAGTTAATATGAAAAAATTTTGAGATAAACAAATTTATCATTGATCTTTATTGATAGTTTATTTATTTGAAGTATTTTTTGTTTTTTTGGATGGTTTATTTTTTGATTTTTTTGTTAATGCTTTATTCTTGTTGTATTTGTTCAGTGATTTAATAATGGGTATAAAATTGAACAAGACTTGATGAAGTGGATGAATGAGAGTCAAATAATGAAATATGAGTATCTATTCTAAACAAGAGTAGATTAATGTAATCTTCTATTTATGTAATGGCTAGTTTTAATAAATGAATAGTTTACAATAATTTTTGAATGAATTGAATAGAATTTGAACGATGATGGCAGTATCTTTATTTAAGAAGAAGGTTTTTTCTAAATTGTCAATTTATTCTTAATTGGGAAAGGAAAATTCATTAGAAAAAATTATTTTGAGCTTGAATTGAAAATATCACTATGAGTATTCTTACGAAGGATATATTGTAATTAGAAGAGGGCTTATTAAAATTAACTCATGATGATGGCTAAATCCATTATTGATAGATTAAATAATTGATTTAAATGTATTTAAAGAAATAAAATCAAATAAAATTACGAAAAATTGAATAAAATCTAGATTATAAATATATATCTAATTTATAAGATATATTTATATATAGATAGTTTGATGGTTTTTTTATAATATATAATATTTTAATCATATTTATTAGGTAAGTAAATGGTAATACATCTATATTAGATTAGAAATTATATTGAGTATGAAATTCTATATCTAATATGATTAAAGTATATATAAAAGGATTTAAATTATAATTTCATAAGGCTGATAATTAAATTTTCATAAACATATGAGTATATATTTATGTAGATATTCAATAACATAATTATAAAAAATTTAATGATTCTATTTCTATATCACTCATTTTTAAATTTAAATTATTCTCAAAATTAACTGCTCTATTGAATTTAAATTAAACCAATTAGATTATTAATGTAAATAATGATTGAAATATTTCAATAATAAAAAACTATTTTAACTTATTTTGATTCTAACGACTTTCTTACTTTAAAATGTATTGAATTGATCTCTCTTTTCATTTGAATGAGTATTATTTTAATCTTAGATAAGCAAAATATTGCAAAGATGATCTATTATTGAATTTTAAGTACATTTATTTTATTTTTAATTATGATCAGTCATTTGTTATCAGAACATTATTTTTTTACTTCTTTCAATCATCGTAAGCAGTAACCTCTGGATAATCATATTTCATCAAATAAAATCTTTAAAAAATCAGAAATATAAGGTTGTTGTCGAAATCTAAAAAATAGACATTTAGATTGTAAAGGAGAATAATATGAAAAAAGAGATCTAAGTAATGCAACTAATGATAATTAATTGTTAAAGCCTGAAACTGTAAGGTAAAACAATCAACTTAAATCAAAACCAGCAGTTTCAAGATATATGAAGAAATTAATCATTTCTAATTTTATAGAAAATAGATAAACTTTTTATTCTTGTACTCCTATGCAACCAATATATGATTAATTTCTAAATAGATATGAATAAAAATAAAGAGATAGAGAATTTTAACATCATTATTTTAATCGTGTTTATAAACATCATTTAAGCAAAGCTATATAGTATACTTTATCATAAGTATTAAACTTTCTTTCTTTTGATGATATTTTCAAAGTTAATTTAGATTAAAGTGATTTTCATAAATACCTATAAAGATAACCAAAATTACTTAGAAATTCTGTAAGTTCTATAGATTTATTCAATTTTCAATAATCATAATTTGATAATCAATTTTTGACTACCAATAGAAAGATCTAATTAATTACTAATGTATTCTAGGATCCTCATTTTAATGCTTAAGATAGATAAGTTCTATATTAAGTGATTATATTTTAAATAAAATAAACTTAAAAATCACTTCTTAAATTAGAAAAAGCTAGTAATGGTATTAAAGCATTGAATAGGTTTTAGATTAAAAAAGAAAGTCATTTAGAATAATTAACATAAATACTTGATTTTATGTAAAATAACTATGATAAACTTGTTAAATTAATATGATTATAATTAATTCTATTATATAAGAAATTTATATAAAAATTAATGTATATAGTTAACCAATTAATCAAGATGAGATTATTGATTTCTATTTAATAAGGTAGAACTAAATAAACAGCTAGAAAAGTGCTGATGGAAACAAAAACCAACAAAATATTTAGCTACTAAAGCAGCAAGAAAAATACTTCTGTGTTGGGCCAACTTGGCTTAAAAAAGTCACATGAATTTAAACAAGAAACTATAGGATTTCCTTTATAATTATTATCTTTTGTTAAATAGAATAAAAAGATAATAATATCAATTTTGAAATAAATAGAGGATTATTATAATCTTAAAAAGTTATTGTTAAATTTATTCATAATGAATGTTTATCTGAATTATTTAGCTAAAATCAATATATTTTATAAAATACTCTTTGGTTGAATATTTATTATAAATTGTAAATCATAATTTTAAATTATTAGATATCAATTTTTTTTTCACTTCAGTAAAAGAAATTAAATCATGGAGATATATGAAAAATAATAAAGAAACAATTAGATAGAATTTTGGTAGATCAATAGTAATTTTCATTAGCTTTTTGTAAATTATTGTGATATTATTAAAGCTCAAGGTCAATAAGAAAATTAAGATTTAATAAAAGATTGTAATGAATCAGAATAGAACTTAATAAAAAATTTCAGAACCAAAAGGAAGTCAATAAAGGTTAAGGTTTCTAATAGAAAATATCAAATAGATTCAAATAAGAAAGTTGCAATATCAAATATGAAATAAAGAACTTATTTAATTAAACAATTTTCATATGAGAGTATATAGAGACCTGTATTATCATTAAATCCACAGTATTAGGTTGAGAGACAAAGAAAATATGCTAGATAAATAAAAATTTGAAAGCAGTAAATGAATTTATTTACTTTCACATTAAAAAACGAAAAAAAGAATTTTAAGCTTTGTGTAAATTATAATCAAATTTAGAATGCCAACCATTTTTTAATTTAATAAGTAATATATAATAATCAAATATACATTAAATA